TCCTACATTTTTTAAAAATTAAAAGCAAAAAAAAAAAAAAAAAAGGAGGAAGAAAACATTCACAAAGCCCAGACTGATCATGTCTTCCTAAAGGTTTAACTCCCTTCACTCTCATTATGGAATAGTTGAGTCCTATTGAAGACTAAATCATCTTCATGGGCTGGGCTGAAAGGCCCTGCAAGGATGATTAAATGCAGTGAGACTACAAATTGGCAATCACCTTTTGAATGCCATCTCAAATGGAGAGATCTGAAAAAAGCAGTCCTTCCTTCACTGTTTGGTGAGGTTTCTGCTTTAGGGATAAGTAGCGAGACTTTTACATCTCCTGCTCCTTGCGTGAGCAGGCACGTGACAAAACCCGATTCCTTAAGTCCTGTACCCACGGAAATAAAAAATCGGAGCCGATTCTAGTCACCTTTCCCATTAATCCTTGATGTCAACTCAACCCTTCTCAACACAGCACTCCAGGTAATCACTACAATTGATCAGAGCTGATCATTAAGATGAAAAAGATTTACCACCTTGGATAAGGATGGACCAAAGATTCCAAGGTAGAAATTAGTAAAACAGGTTGTTGTGGGTTGAATCTTGTCCCGCCCCCTCCCCAATTCATATGCTGAAGTCCTATCCTTCAGAATGTGAACTTCTTTGGAAATAGGGTTATTGCAAATGTAATTACTTAACATGAGATTACACAGTTAAAATGAGGTTATGCTGAGCTATATGACCTTATCTAGTAAGACTGGTGTCCTTATAAAAAGGAAATGTGGACATAGATGCACCTAGGAGAACACCAGATGAACATGAAGATAGAGCTGTATAAGCCAAGGGATGTCAAAGATTGCCAGCAAACCACGAGAAACTAAGGAAGAGACATGGGAAAGGAATCAACAGCCCTCAGAAGGAATCAACCTGCTAATGCCTTGATCTCAGACTCCAGCCTCCAGAACTGTGGGACGATAAATTTCTGTTATTTAGACCACTCAGTTTGTGGTACTTTGTTACAGCAGACCTAGAAAATGAATACAAGTTCAGAAAGAATCTTGCCTATGGAGCACAGATTATTTCTAGGATGTTAAAAGACACAGGCAATTTTAAAACAGAAAGGCACCTTGGAGACCAAACAGACAACTGTTCTTCCCCCAGGCAGATTTTGCAAATAAAGAAACCAGAGCCCAGAGATGTTACAGGACGTGACTAAAGTCACAGAGCCAGCTGGTCAGAGCTGAGATTTCATATTAGGTCTTTTGACTGTCAGTTCCCCATGCCCAATGTCCATGCACACTTTAGTCATTTGCTTACATCTGTATCTCTTCTAACTTACCATGACACCCTGAAAGCAGGGTCTGTATGCCTGGAATATGGCACAGTGTCTCACATATAACAAGCCCTCAATAATAAAAATAGTTCATATTTCCAGGGTCTTCCACGGGGTAATCTTCATGTTGACCCAAGAAACGGTGCTTTTCCAAAAGCAATTCCTATGCCAGAGACAGAACAGAAAGCCAGGCTTCTCAATGTGTCAAGCTGTAGACAGCAACTCCCAGTGGCCTGTAAGTGATCAAGCCCTGTCCACAGTTAGTCTGGGCCAAGCAGCCTTCTGCCGACAATATGGTGCTCCGGGAGGGGTAAGCCATGAAGAAAGGCCTGCCAGCAGCCTGTGAGCTCTTAGCCAGCTCCCTTCAGCAGCTACAAATTTATATCTCTTCCCCAGCTGAGGGTCTTACTTGCTTCTTAGAGGCAGGGACCATCTTATTTATCTCTACATCCTCCATGTTGCCCAGGGCCCAGGGTTCAGCTCATATCATGGCAGATGCCCAATGAATATGTGTCAGCTTGGATCAACTTCCTATGCCATCGCCTGGCAGCTGGGTACAAGGACAGGAAATTTTACAAGGTGTTATTTTGCTAAAAATATACCTGAGGGGAATCTCATCCCTTGTTATTTGTAACTCTTCCTTTCCAAAGCTGGTCGAGCGTTGAAAGAAATCATCGTCAAAATGACACTTTTCAACACTTAAAATGTCTTCCTGAGTTTAGAGAACAAAGCTTCAGTCAGTTCAGTCTCTGCAGGAAAGTCCCCCACAAGACACATTTATGATGTAAACTTTAAATGGTTCTTGGTTTTCCGTAACATACAAATGCTTGCTAAAGCTTAAGGTGTGGGTCATATCTTAAAATAGTAAATTCTAAAGATCATGATTCTTTTGAGTATGTTAGATACATCAAATATGTTAAATATGCCTAGGAGGTGACTTCATAGCAATCACATCTCATTTCCATAATTTGGTATTTTTGTGGTTGACATGGGTTCTGAGGAACAGAACACAATTTGTTTTTCATTGAACTGATAGGAAAGCAGGACTGGCTTACACGAGCTTTGTTCATGACAGCTGTACAAAAGGATTGAAAGGAGAGAGTCGCTGGAGTCCATTTGGTCTGGCTACATAATTGTGGGCTTCAAGCACAAAACGAAAATGTAGCAGGGAAGTCAATCTCCCCTTCCCACTGCTTGCCATTGTGCCCCCCAAGGGATTACAACCTCCAGCACACACTGAGTACACCAATGGGGGTGGGTGAGAGACCCCCACCAAGTCAAATGCACTATGGCACTGACAGGCCAGGGCAGGGACAGCACTGTCATGCTGTTTCCCAAGACGCCATGGTGTACACACCCAACCACCACCCTTCCTGCATCGGCTCCCAGGTCTCCTACAGGGAGCAGAGGTAGAAGGGAGCTCCCCACATGCTGACAAGACCTGGTGGCCACCCTGGGTGGAGGGTGGCAGTGGTCATGGGATGGGGGTGGGAAAGAGAAGGTCGGGTTCTGGGACACCAGGGGCTGGAGGTAGGGGGCAGCTCCACCAGTGAGTTGAGCTTCATTATCCCATCAGACTTCACTTATGAGACACAAATACGAAGATAAACTAAGAAATGTGAGACAGCAGTGATAGGACATTAAACCCAAGCAAGTCCTTCTGAGCATGAGTCTTGGTCAACAACACCAGTTGCTCGGCCATGAGTCCAGACCCGCCAGGGACAGTTGTGTAGGGGCTCAGTTTTTCATATAGGGCTTAATAGATGTGTTGGTCTCATGCTGAGTGTGTAAAGCTGGGTTGAATGCTACATAAGAGCTTAGGTAAACTAGACTGTAAGATCTTTGGGGATCAGGAATTCTCTGATTCCTGTTTCCCCCAAAGCACTTGGAAGATTTTGACACATGATACACTAACCAACAGCACATAAATCACATATGACAAGTCACAAACTGAGATGTTGGAGATAAAATATTCTGGGGCACATACGGGGCACTGAATTATAGTTTTCTTTGCAGCAATGTAGACTTCATTCCTGACCAAGGAGCCCACGGAGCATGTGACGTAGGAAAGGTAGAAGGCATCATTTCAAGGTGCACCATGGGAAAGGAGGCTGGGGAGGAAGGTTTATGAGAAAGACATTGTTTGCTGGCTCCGAGCCTTAGCTCACATCACTGATACATACGCATCATAAAGCAATATCGATTCTCCAGGGAGAATTAGGTAATGATGTGCACTTGGAAACTACAAGGAAAATGGAGCCATGTCTTAAATGCTATGGTTAAAAGCTGGAAACCACAACTTCTCAGCTCCTTTCTATTGAGACTTCCGAATAACAAAATTCCTTCCTGACTCCGTGCTTAATTGCCTGGAAGAGGGAGCAGAAGATGAGATCCCTCCATCCTGCAAGTTTCAGATGCCGATTGGTTTGATCCACGGGTTCCCTGTTGTTTGAAACCTTCCTGCCAACTGGCTGCTGGGAGAAGTCACAAAGCCAGTGGACGGAAATAGCCCTGCCCGCTGAGAGAAAGAGGATCTCTTCTCATCCTCTAACAAATACTGATGATGCATTTTTGCACCTCTGACAGTTGCTACGGAGACCGTGTGGGGAACACATGTAAATATTCCGCCTGTGTGAGACACGCGAAGGTCCTCCAGAGCAATGCATTTTCTCTTCTTGACTTTTCTCTTGCTGTCTGAGAGCTGCAGTTTGCAGCTACATCAGTAAGCCCTGTAGTTTCAGGCCTCAGACTCGTGAGGCTCCTGTTTCAGGAACTCCTCTACCAGGAACGAGTGGAAACACCCCACATGTGGGGTCATGAGATCTGGGTTTGAAATGCTTTCCTGCTACTTTTATGGTAGCAGAAAGTTCCTCCACCTCTACCTTCTCATCTGTAAAGTAGGGGAAATAAAGCCCCCTTCTCTAGGGGAGAAGGCGGAAAATGGACACAAGCTTTGTAAAGATGAAAGCATTAGGTGCGTTTAGTAGCATGATTATGGAATTACCGTAATTACCGGATATTCCCAAAGGCTTGTCAAAAGCAAACATGGTCTTTTAGGCCTTGGCATGTACAAACGGGGCCGGCTCACCATCAGAGTCAGCCTTGTTCCTTCTCAAAGTTCGGTGTGGATGTCCCCATGCTATTACTTTGTCCTGCTAAAGGCAGGCGAGCTCAGATGAGGAATCCAGGCCTTGGGGCCTGGCTCCTGGCACCTCTCCTTCCAATTGTCCAGGGGCTCCGTGGTGATCAAGGGCCCCATCTCACAGCCTTCCATCCACACGAGAGCAGAACAGCTCAGCCACCAATCTCTTCCGACCCCTGAAAAAACCCAGGTGTTTTCTTACAACACAAATACATCCCCAAGGCTTAGAAAAGCCCGCAGATCCAGCAGCAAGACCCACCCCGCAGACCCTCTTGCTCAAAGGGGCACGAGGGCCAGAGAGTAGGTGTGCGCAAGCTCTGGTCTGCATTCTAAAGGCAGCTCCTGAAACTCCAGCTCCTGTGTGGCTTCTTTCGGGGTGTGGGAGGAGAGGCGGAGCCAAGAATGAGGGCGTTGCCCTCACTGACAGTCAGCTGCCGCCCACGCTCCAGCGAGAGCTTCTCACAGGTCTGTTCCTTTCTATCTCCTTGGTAACTCGACATGGTGCTGTGGTGACAACAAGAAACAGAGTAAACAGGATCAGCCAGAGGTGGGGAGCCAGGGCTGCTTCTCCTTCCACCTGGCTCGCTCTCCATTCCGGAGGTCTAGATGCGTGTTCGGGATCTGTCATTCAGTCACACAGAACAGCCACGCCAAATTCCGGTCTTGAGAAGAAGCAGCCCGACACATGTGTTTCTTGTGCTCCCCACTCAGCCAGTGAGGGGATCCTGGAAATGCTGAGCCCGCGCGGGTTCCAACCATCCCAGCCCAAATGCTACGGGCTGCTGGGGAGCAGAACTCAGCAGGCAGGAATGTGAGAGGAGGGTGGGGGCCAGGGGCGGAGGGAGGATGGAAGGGAGCTGGGAGAAGGGTAGAGGTCAGCCAGGTCAAGGATTCCCCAAATTCTCTTCCCTTGGCACCCCACACCCCAAATCTCCCATCTGAAAGGAAAATATAATGTGTGTGTATGTATCTAGATAGATAAAATGTATATATAAAACATAATGTATTTATAATATATATGTGTATATAAAATATATATGATTATTAGAACTTCCATGAAGTTGAGAAGGGGTAACGAATAGCATCTTGTGGGTTTTTTTGTTGTGTGTTTTGTTTGTATTCGTTTGTGTTTGCTTTGCCAGGAAAGGAAGGAGAATTAAAGGGGAGGCTGAGAAAGGAAAGATATGATACTGATAATAACATGTAGGAATAAGCCAAGAGTTCATTATCCATTCAGGAAATACTGAGTGAGCATCCACTGCTTACCAAGCCCTGTTTTAGACGCTGGAGATACGGCAGTAAACATAACAGGCAGAAACTCCTGACTTAACGTAGCTTACATTCAAGGGAGACGCAGGAAATTAAGATGACAAGTTTAGTTTTTCAAATGACAAAATTACAACAAAACATGACGAGCACGTAAAATGTATTGAGTGCACACACAGACATAAAGCAAGATGGAGGTCAGGGAGCTGCGGTCCAGGAGAGGAGAACCAAAGGAGTCCTCACTACAGAAGTGGCTCTGAGTCAAGTTGTGGCAGGCGAGGACTTGAGCTGGGCTGCTTTCTGGGCAAAGAGCATCCCGAGACCAATCAGGAGGTTACCGTGGCTGAAGCAGCGTGAGCCAGAGGGCAGGAGAGAGGGTGAGGCTGGAGTGTGACGTGTCACATCAGGTAGGGCCTTGGGGGCCACTAGAAAGATTCAGGCTTTTCCTCTGAATTAAATGAGGAGGCATGGGAGTGTCTTCAGCAGAGAAGTGGTGTGATTTGATTTCTGTTAAAGGATCATTGTGACTGCTTCATGAAGAATAGATTGAGGGTGGAGGGGGGCTGATACTCTGAATCTGAAATCTGCTCTCACTTTGTTAGCAAGTGGAATTGGCAAGTTTGGGGGAGGGTAGAGACGGGCACCCAGACTTCCTCTTATGTGATCAGGAGGACTGAGAGAAACTGGAAGTGGGATGTTTTGGGTGTGATTCAGTGTTAATGAAAGGTGTTTGCATACAACCTAAAATCATCTTGGCTATCACCAGTGGTTTATCTCCCACCCCTTGGAAAATGAGGTCTAGAGAGAAACCAAACATTCCCATACATGGATGCTATAATTTATCTGGCCCATGGAGGTTCTCAGCTCGAACCTGCTATTCAGATATGGCTTGGAGACACTACGTCTGACCCTCCTTAACTCCATAGCTTGGACTAAAGTTCAAAATGTAACAAGAGCAGTGGGGTCACCAAGTGATTAACACACACTCAGACGTGCCAACACATGCAGCTCCTTTGTTTTCCAGAACTGATCAAATCTTCCTTGTATCCCCTCAACCCTATGGAACATGTAGGAAAAGACTGAACGTACATGGTCAGCTGGTATATCCTGGCCTCTTCTGGTGTCCCTTGGTCTCCTGATGTTAGCACCTGGCTCTTTGGCTGGTGGGGGTGTTGCTACCATGTGGCTATGGGTGTGGAAACCAGCATGGTGACCTCTGGTCTTTAGGGGCATCCCTGCTGGGTGTTTGGGTCCTGTGCTGGTGTCCCATGAGTTACTCCCGGTCTAGTTTGTTCACTGGCATGCAATGGACAAACTTAGCCATGGGACATTGACACCGCTATTGCCTCTGGAAGTCAAACTACTTGATCTCAATGGCCTCCACTTTCCAACTTCAGGCCTCTGCATTTCCAGTGATCCATCTTGAACCGCCCTGACCTTCACCAGGGCACCAGGGAATACAGGGATACATCTCATCGTTATCTACCAAGGTCCCTCCATTTGTTAATGCTGCACTGTCCCACCCAAGCCATGTTAGACATGGTACCAGATACATGTTGGGCTTCTCCTAGTTGCTTTCAGCCTCTTCCAGGCTGTGCGTGGGAAAGGAGGTCACTTGCCCTAATATTTTTAGTCTCTCCATACCTTTCTGAATGTTTTCATAGTTCCCTCCCCAAAAAAGCCTTGGCCTCAAGGAAGAGGCAAGGCAAGACTCTGATGTGTGAGGGTCTTAGCTTGCGTCCACCTCTTTTTTCATTCCTGTGCTCTGCTGGACAGGAACGAGTGTGCCCTTTCCCCCTCTTCCTTTCGGGTGAGAATGTATCCCTCAAGATATCTTTTTCCGGGCTTCCCTGGTGGCGCAGTGGTTGAGAGTCCGCCTGCCGATGCAGGGGACACGGGTTCGTGCCCTGGTCCAGAAGGATCCCACATGCCGCAGAGCTGCTGGGCCCGTGAGCCATGGCCGCTGAACCTGCGCGTCTGGAGCCTGTGCTCCGCAACAGGAGAGGCCACAACAGTGAGAGGCCCGTGTACCGCAAAAAAAAAAAAAAAAAAAGATATCTTTTTCCTTGCTAAAATGGTATCTGTTCCGTCCACTTCCCTGGGGCCATCATGGTTGGGTCACGTGTGCCCTCAGGGAAACAGACACTGAGGCAGAATTAAGATTGCAAGAGTTTTTTGCGGGAGTAACACTTGTGAAGATAAAAGAGGGAGAAAGTACAATTGGACAGGGAAAGCCTCAGATCACGATGCAGATCTGAGTCATTTTGGCCAACCCAGTGAGGGATTCCAGAACAAAGACTGCTCATCGGAGGAGTACCATGTTGAAGAACTGGCCAGGCCTAGGACCTATTCTGTGCTCAGTCACTGGCTGGGGGCTGCCCCAGGAAGAGCATGGCCCCTGCTCTAAAGGCGCTGTGCATCCTAAGGTACTGACAGCTGGAGGCTGTAAGCCAACTGCATCTTTTACTGCTGAACAGCAAGTTCTTTCTTGAAGGGAGACCCACATGGGCACCTCTAATACTGCTACAACGGGGGGAGGGCTGTTAGAGAAATGACTGATGGGGGAAAGAATGCAAATCACATCAGACTGGTGTTTTCTACATGTTTTACATATTACCCAAGTCATCCCTGAGCACAATCTCAGCCCACATCCTTTTCCCTGCAGGTGAGCTTTAATCCACTGTGACCGCAGCATAAAATGATTTGACTGTTCTTGAAACTTTCCTAAGAACCTCTTCACAGAACACGGTGCTGGCGTAATGCTTTAAAACCATGAGCATGGCTTTTACAGAGCCCTTTGATTTTAATCTAAGAGGCTCTTTGTAAATTTAAAAAAATGTTCATTTTAATTCACCATTTGGAACCAGCAAGCGCCACGCCGTTTATCTAAACCCAAGTCCTCTACCAAGACAGTGATCTGTGTGCTGCCGGGGAAATTTCAGTGGTTTGTTGACAGCAAACTAATGGTGATAGAGGACTACAGATCTCTAGCAAAGAAAGCTCCTGTGAATTAGGAGACTGGGATTGACATATACACACTAATATGTATCAAATAGATAACTAAAAAGAACCTGCTGTATAAAAAATAAATAAAATTCAAAAAACTAAAATAAATCATGGTTGTTAAAAAAAATCATCAATGGATGATAAAAGAAATAGGCGAGAGCATGATTAGATTAAAAAAAGAAAAAGAAAGCTCCTATGAGTCAGAAGCCAATCATCTAACTGTCTGTTCACCAGGTTTCCTTCCTGTGAGTCACTTTAAAAAGCTTCACTTCTTCTTTCTCAGTTTTCAGCCCTTTTCTGGTTTAATCAATGACAGTTGAAGCTATATTATAATTACTGGAAGTGTTGATAAATGCAATCGGTCCCCTCTCCTGGACAGCCCTTGGAAAGGAAGTGGTAGAGAAGAGATGGAAGGAGGTGGGAAAGAAGTCTGTATGTGGAGAAAGGGAGAAGCAAAAGAGACTAGAGGAGAAACCAAAAGACTAGAAATTTCTTGCTGTCCCAGGAGTCAAAATATTGCTTAGTTTAGTCATGATTGATCACAAAGATGGCCAGTTTCGTGGAAATAACATTGTCAGAAAAATTATAGGACTCAAGTTAAATTTGTTTGTTTGGTTTTTTTAATAAATTTATTTATTTGGCTGCATTGGGTCTTCGTTGCTGCGCATGGGCTTTCTCTAGTTGCGGTGAGCGGGAGCTACTCTTTTTTCTCCCGTTGCGGAGCACAGGCTCCGGACGCTCAGGCTCAGCGGCCATGGCTCACGGGCCCAGCCGCTCTGCGGCATGTGTGATTCTTCCGGACCGGGGCACGAACCCGTGTCCCCTGCATCGGCAGGCGGACCCTCAACCACTGTGCCACCAGGGAAGCCCAGGAGCTACTCTTCATTGCGGTGTGCAGGCTTCTCATTGTGGTGGCTTCTCTTGTTGCGGAGCACGGGCTCTAGGTGTGCGGGCTTCAGTAGTTGTGGCACGTGGGCTCTAGAGCGCAGGCTCAGTAGTTGTGACACACAGGATTAGTTGCTCTGCGGCACGTGGGATCTTCCTGGACCAGGGCTCGAACCCATGTCCCCTGCATTGGCAGGAGGATTCTTAACCACTGCGCCACCAGAGAAGTCTCTTAAATTTGAATTTCAAATAATGAGTCAATTTTTAGCATAAACATGTCCAATGAAATATTTCAGATATACTTTTATTCATTAAATTTTTTCTTTGTCTGAAATTCAAATTGAACTCGGCCTCCTGTATTTTTATTTGCTAAATATGGCAACCCAAGCCAGGAGACATTTCAATCTCATCACGCTGGGTTGGTGAGGGTGATAAGCTACATATTGAAGAGGAAATGGAGAGTATAACACCATACTCCTACTTTCTAGCAGAAAGAGCCAGGTTATTTGGACTTGAAAGTTCCTTCCTTCTGAGTCAGCCTCTGCCTTCCCAGCTCTGCTCAACACTGAGCATTTCAAACTGACCATTGGTTCGAACCCATCAGCAGGTCACTGAAATTGGACTTGCTGTCCTAGACTTGGTATCTTCTATGACTAAAGGTAACTTGGATCCCTCAAGTTTACTGAGCCTTTTTCTTTCCTTAATCACCACCATGTTTGTCCAGTCAATAGGACCGAGCTTTTGCCTTGGTTTCTGCCTGTACCTGAGGTCCTGAACTCCAAACCATTCAGCTGTGGTTTTGACATCCTGCCTCGATCATGGGTTCCTCTCAGCCCATGCCTGGTGTATGTCTCCAAACCAAACATATCACCTGGGACCACAATGCTGATTCCAAGCCTCACCCTCTTGTAGAACAGGGGTTGCCAAACATTTTCTGTACAGGGCCAGATAGAAGATATTTTTGGCTTTGTAAACCCCAAGTCTCTGTCACTACTCAGTTATGCCATTGTAGCATGAACAGACGTGTGTTCCCATAAAACTTTATTTACAAAAACAGGTCGTGGGCCAGATTTGGCATACGGATCATAGTTTGCTGACCCCTGTTCTAGAAAATCCTGTGATCTTGCTCTTCCTGCCCAGAAGTTTCCACTTAAATGTGGATGCTGACCTATTAGCTCACGGGAGCCTTTTCTACTAGACAGGATTCTGATGGAGACTCCATGCCCCATTGGGGGCCAGTCCTATTTTACAATCTTGGTGCGCTAGTCTTGGACCTGGCAGTTCCCAGCTTTGTTATCTTGCCTTCTGTCAGCCACTGAGGTCCCAGCATGTCTAGAGAATGAGTACACTTAAGTAAGCCAACATCTGCTTTTGTTTCCACACTGCAGCCAAGATTCACTCTCCTTCTTTCCATAAACACTATCTTAGTTCAAGATTTTGTTGCCAACACTTTGGACTGGTCTGTCTTCTCTTTGGACATCTGCCTGAGAAATCGTCTCTGTGCATCACTGTTGCATAAAAGTCAATGGGACTACCCTGTCAGTGCTAGGAAGGGTTTGTCTTATAATACCTATGGATTTAGAGAAAACCCTTCTCTCTTAGATGATTAAAAAACCCTGACAAAACCAGGTAAAGGCAGCCACAGTGCATGGCTTCAAGACTACACATCGAGTGCTTCAGGATGAAGAAAAACCAACATTATGAATAATATTGATGCTGTTATTAAAAGTAACACTATGACCTTAGAAAGACCTTACTATGGTATGAAAATGCAAAACAAACTTCACAAGCAATTCAATATGGGTATGACTAAATCCACTTCTTCACAAGGGTAGGACTTTGGGAACTAATTCATAAATTTCAAAAATAAGATTTTAAATTAGAAAAAAACAACAGTTTTGAAACAACTCTGCACAAGCCTTTTCAAATAATGTTAATTGACATAGGCCGCTGCTCTGGATCAGTCTGACCACCGTGTTCTACACATCTTTTTACTTTATGGGATAAGTGTTTCTCTCAAAAGTTGAATGAAATTGAAGACTTTATAAATCAAATCCTATTTTAAATAGAGAACTTATTCTTTAATTTTGGAGTCTTCCTTCCCTCATTTAAAAAAATGTTGTTTTCTATTTATTTTCTTTCATTATAATAAATTTTTAATAAGCATTATATCCCCAAATTGAAACTGTCTATACTTGCTTAGGAAGAATACTTTCTGAGTTATCTGAACTCCTTCAAACCAGTATAACAGAAATTAACACAGTGTGGTAGGTCAATTATACTTCAAAAACAAACAGACAAAATCACAGAAAAGGAGATCAGATTTGTGGTTACCAGAGGCAGGGGTTGGGGGGAGGGGGAATTGGATGAAGATGGTCAAAAGGTACAAACTTCCAGCTGTAAGATACATAAGTACTAGGGATGTAATGTACAACATGATTCATATAGCTAACACTGCTGTATGTTATATATGAAAGTTAAGAGCATAAATCCTAAGAGTTCTCATCAAAAGGAAGGAAAATTTTTTCTATTTCTTTAATTTTGTATCTATATGAGATGATGGGTATTCACTAAACTTATTGTGACAATCATTTCATGATGTACGTAAGTCAAATCATTATGCTGGACACCTCGAATTTATACAGTGTTGCAGGTCAATTATATCTCAATAAAACTAGAAGAAAAATGTTTTACTTACACGTGTCCAGAAAAAAAAGTTCCTTCAATGACAGTGTACTCTAAGAGGTACTTTAATAGCTGCATAGTCACTCCCCAGAGATGATTCTTTACAGGACAGTTGTTCAGATGTGAGCTCATCCTTAGCAGTACTGTGGTTCAGCAGCAGATTCTAGATCAGGTTATAGTTGAGCAGGAAATATAAAGAGATGCTTCTATCCAAACACAAAATTACTCCACAGTGGAGAACCAGCCCCAGCGGCCTTTCCAGGTGAAGCGGCCACTGGCTGCCACGTCATCTACGGCACTCAGTGGGCACTTTCTCATTTAGTTCAGCCACAGAGCTTATCAGCACAGCCCTATTCTAACCATTTCTATCGAGTTTTCACCAATAGAGTCAGGATTGTATACTGGTTAAATTTTGAAGTCAGAGAGATTCAAATTTGAATTATATAATTGTCCTCATTCCCACTCTTATAGCTAAAGGTGGACGAGACCCTGTAACTAAGCACGAATAGGGAGAGAGACAGAGACAGACAGAGACAGAGACAGAGGGGAGCAAGAAATGGGGAGTGTTTTCTCTCTAACAAAGGATGCTGAACAGCTAAACACAAAAGCCCACTGCACAAGGTCAGGAGGGAACATGTTAGTCTGAGTCTGAGATGCAGAGCTTGCAGGTTGAGGAGCAAGTTAGCTGGCAGAGAGGTTCCCAGGACAGGACTGGTAGGCAGCCAACATAGTAAGGAGACCATGGAGGTATGGGGAGAAGCGGAAAGCCTGAAAACCAGTTCAGGTATGAACTTTACAAGCATGACTCAACCACTGTGGCATCCCTCTTATGCTCAGCTCGGTATGCGTGGTCCGGGAAAGCAACACCCATGTTAAGTTCACATCTAGCGGTGGTGTCATAGAAGAAAGGAAAGAGCTGAAGCTGGTTAGCAAGTCCTGGGCTGATGGGATTTGTGTCAAGTGGGGTCAAGTACAGAGCTCTCCCTAGAACTAAATCAGGGAGTTCAAATAAGGGCATGTAGAGTCATGGAAGAATAACAAAACTGGAGGGGCCAGAGAAGGACTAGAGACTGAACTTGTAGGGTCAGGTCTGCTGGGATTCAAATAGAAGCAGGTTGAGAACAGTAAGACAGGGTCATGGTCAAACTGTTCAAACATCACGTGTGCTGCTTGTGAGGATCTAAGGATAAGAAGGCACAGAGATGTGGTTTGAGCTGGTGGGACAGTTTTAAGGACCAGGAAAAGAGTAGAAAAAAAGATACATCTTTTTGGATGGAGATAGAGGCCATCTCCCTACCTAACAGAGGGAAGCTTTAGTTTGGCTTTCTTACCCTGACTTACCATAGAATCATCTCCATCCTCTTTCCAGAAATGGGAAGGCTTGGGAAGGCAACGAGGTTTATGGGTTTCTGGAAAATAGGATCACTCATCCCATCTACCAAGGAGAACCTCAGTTGTAAGCTATCAGAGAGTAGGAAAATTGCCACCTGGCCAGGTTGCCACAGAAGAGAATTGGTGGCTCTGGGTCCTTTTAAGAGGAGCTGAAAAAGCAGAGGGCTATGGTATAGATTTCATTCTCTAAGTCCAGGAAAGCAAGGTGAGAAGAGAAAGTATCAACCCACATCACTTCCTTTGGACCTTCATAACATCATCTCTCTCAAGGAGATGGCGTGATACACATTTCTCCCAAATAGGTGACCAGTAGTGAGTTTTAGACCATTCTCGCAGGGACAAGGTCACAAAGACCTCCCCACAAGATTGTGGAAAAGGGGGCAGGCAAGCAGAGAACAGCTGTTGGGTAGACAACCAGTAGTGTCTGTGGCTGAGGCAGTTGGGTTGTTCCTTTGGTTTATTTCCCTCAAAGAGGCAAAGCCACATCATTTGAAGGCATTTTAGGAGCTGCAATCTGCCTTCATGAGATCATGGGTATTGCTGATGTCCTAGTTCCAGGGAAAGCAATTCCATTTTAAAATTCTGCTGTGACTCTCCAAAGAATATTTCCTAAGTTACATGTAAAAACAAGTCATTAAAAAATGCAACTTCCTTTTATTTCTATATTTAGCCTGTAGTTCTTCGAACCTCACCCTCTGGGCTAGCAGCCCACAAAGATCTCATAGCACTTACTAAAATACGTAATTATTCAGATGTATCTGTTTATTTATTTGCCTCTCCCATCACTTTTACTGTAAGACTTATCTACCTTGTTCTCCATTCTTTCTGAGGCACGTAGCAGCCAGCCTGGGACACAGTAGTCATTCAATAAAAATATATTGAATGAATAAATGAGCAAATGAAAATTTTGGGTGAGGGAACTATGAGGGAGGACTTTGGAATGGAAAAGGCACCTAGTATTATCAATGTCTTCACTAATTATTGTTGAGCACAAAAGATTATTTTTAATGCTTGCCTGATACCTATTCGGGAACATTATGGGGAGGAAGGGCAAGAAATGTACCCTTTCCATTGACTTCCATCAGTGTTTGTATGTGGATTGTAGCTACACCGAACACAGTTACTTTGTCACCACCTCCAAGAAGCAGAAAGTGACTTGTAATCCATTTTTGTGTTCTAGGATCCTGGTTGAAAGTAAGAGAAAGAGAGTTCCATCTTTCCAATTCTCCAGGAATCTCAAACTCCCCAGTTTTCACTGCTGTGTGCCACGTTCCAAGAGCTGACCCAGAGGGAGTCCCATCCTGAAACAGGTGGGCACAGCTGCGTAAACACCGTCCTCACTTTCAGGTAAAGGGCTCCTTGGACCACCTTCCCTCTCAGGTGGAAAAGCGGAGAGTAGAGTCTCTAGTGACTGCGTGAGGAGAGGCAGGGTGGGGAGGTCTTCAGAGAGGCACCAGATGATGGAGACTTCAGGAGACCATAGAGCAGCTATGTCTGTCCACTGCTCCTTTACCACAGAGAGAGGAAAAAGAAGGAAAAGATGGATCATGCAGCGAGTGGGAGGGAGTGGGTACAGAAATCAAGTTTATGTTAGAATCATTCCAAAGGATGGTAACAGAAGTGGGGAAACAATGGGAGTCTCTGGAAGGTGAGATGGGACACTGGAAAGTTGAGGTCAATAAACACCATCCCTGCGGCTATTGGTTTTTTTCCAATTTTCCTCCTCTCTGTTGATGCTTTTCTTGGCTGGAACTTCCTCAGATGAGTCCTGGGGAGCCTGAACGGTGACAGTAAAGTGAGGAAGGGAGAAAACCGAGAAGCATTTCAAAAGCTTCTTCCCCAACACTCTTCTTCACTTCCCTTGTAATCCAGTTTTAGGAATAAAGACCAGCCAGGGAAAGAGGTTCTGACTCGAGCCTGCCACGGCCCCAGTCAGCCATTTCTTCTCTTTGTTCAGACCTTAAAATCCTGTGAGGTTTTTATAAACTTTCTAGCAGGGGCCCTGCTGATCTGACGACTCATTAGAAGGGGAATGGAAAACGTTATGAGAGATTTTCAGCGAATGGGTAAAATGGGTAGGACAGCTCCTCTCCAAGCCCCTGTTGCCTCGAAGGCCACCTTCCTCCAGCCTGCAAGCTCTGGCTCAGTGTGAAAGGATGTTCTGCTTGCCCAGGGACCAAGAACTCTTCCAGGAGAATAAAATGCCCTCGGCTGGACTAGCAGACAGACGAAGAGAATGCCAGAGGAGAAGGCCACGGGCACTTGGCAAACCAGGACTAGCATGGAGAAGTTTGCCCTCCAGGTCACTATTTTAAATCCCAACTGAGCTAGGGACAGGGAGAGGAGGGATGCTAAAGATGTTTGCTTGTTTCCCTCACGCGATGTTTGGTCTTCATTGAGGACCAGTTTCTGGGTCACAGTGTTGCCCCATGTATCCTCACACCTGCAACACATCAGCCATCTGGCACCAGGCGAATGGGGGCCAATTCCTCCAACATGACGACATCCCCTTCCTACAGTGGAAGCAGGATTTGGGGCAGGACTGACCTCGGAGGGCCATTCCTCAGGCCATGACTTCTCTTTTCTGGCGATATCCTCTCCCTAGGTGACCTCATCCAGTCTCATGGCTTGAAGCACCAACACCCACGTTTACACCTCCAGTCCCAGCTTCTCCCTCGGGCTCTGGCTTCGTTATCTCCAGCTGCCTCCTTACAGCCTCCACTGGGATGTCTAGCAGACGTCTCCAACCAGAAGTGTGCAAACAGCACTTCAGAACCTTCCACCCACACCTGTTCCTCCCACATGTCAGTTGACAGAAACTTTGTCCTTCCAGCTGCTGAGGCCAAAACCCTGACTCCTCTCTGTCTCACAACCCACTTCCAAACGCTGAACGCTGTTCATCTCTGCCATGAAATACACCCAGTTCTCCCCATCTCCACTGGCCCTCCAAGGCGCTAGGGTCTCCCACCTGTATCCCTGTCACGACTTCCTGGTCTCCTTGTTTTCGCTCTTACCGCCCCCCCTTCTGTCTATTCTCTCCCTGCAGCCTGAGTGATTCTTAAAATCTAAGTCAGATCATGTCTCTCTTTCTACTCAAAACCCTCCAGTGGCTCCATCTCACACAGAGGGAAAGCCAAAGCCCTCACAATGGCCTAGGGGGCCCTAGTGGACTCTGTCTCTGTCTCCTGCTGCTCTGGTCCTCGTTCACTCCCCTCCTGCTGCACCGGCCTCCCAGCTGTTCCTCAAACGCAGAAACTGTTCCCACCTCAGGCTCCCTCAGCGTGGAGCACTCTTCCCTGTCACCTGCATGGCCACCTCTCTTCTTTTTCAGGTCTCTCTCTTTTGGGTGTGGCCTTCTCTGACCACCCTCTACACAACAGCAAAACTTACCCCTGGCCCCCACTATCCCACGCCCCTTCACGTGTTTCTCTCCATGACATTTGCTCATCTGGGGGTTATATTTTAAGTTCCACGAGAACAAAGATCTCTTCTCTCATGTTGACTGCTGTATCTGCTGTGCCGAGAATAATGCCTGACATTTAGCAACTGCTTAATAAATATCAAATGAATTTCTGATCCATTTTCACGCTCTGGTCCCAGAATGACTATTGTTCTCCGATGTCGCATGTCAGTTTTCTTCACCATAAAGGGAGGGAGGATGAGGTGTGATGGTTTTATTTAAAGGCAGAGGGTTTTTTTAATGACCTTACAAGGAAGACATTACACTTAAAAAAACAATCTTTGGAAATCCATTAAATTTGTTCCATTATGATTGATTCATTTGGTGAGAACAAGTTCCCGTGCAGTGGGGAACTTGGATGGGGGAGTGGTGTCAGAAACAGAGGGGAGAAACATTTTAATCATTTCTTAAAGTGAAGATCAGCCTTCCCATTTCATTTTTCAGATAAACTTTTTTTTGAGTAGAGCATACACACAGAAAAGCGCACAGACCTTAAATGAATTATTGATGAGTTATTGCAAAGTAAACACACCCATGTACCCCCCTCCCAGGTCAAGAAATAGAACATTACCAGCACCCAGAGCCCTCCTCTCACCCCTTCACACGACTACCTCCTGCTTGCTCCTTAAAGGGACCACTCTCCTGACTTGCAACATCCCAGGTGAATTTTGTTTGGTTTCAAACCCCATATAAATGGAATCAGACAATATGCATTCTTCTGTAACTAGCTTCTTTCATTCCACATTATATCTGTGAGAGTCATCAATGTCGTGTGTAGCAGTGGTTAATTTATTTTCATCGTGTACAGTATTCCACTCTATGAATATGTCACAGTGTATTTATCTGTTCTACTCTTGATGGACATGTGAGTTTTTCTGTCTTGAGGCTATTATGAATAATGTCGCGCTGAACATTTCTGTGCATGTCTTTGATGGACATAAGCCCTCATTTCTGTCAGATGTATACCCAGGAATAGACTTGACAGGTTTTGAACATATTATGTTTAGGTTTAGTAGATCTGCCAAACTTTCCCCAATGGCTGTATCGCTCTGAATTCCCACTGGTAACGTATGTGTCCTAGTTGCTCCGCACCCTCACAGCCACTTGGTATTGGTCTTCATTTTAATTATTTTCACTCTTGTGGGTGGTTAGGGATATCTCAATGTAATTTTCATGTATATTTCCCTGATGACTAGTTGAGCACCTTTTCTTGTGTTCATCGGCCATTCTATTTTTGTGAGATGCTGATTTGTTTTTAATTGGATGATCTGTCTTTTATAAGAGTTCTTTATATATTCTGAATTGAGCCCTTTATCAGTTATATGTACTGTGAATATCTTTTCTCACTCTGTAACTTGACTCTTTTTTTTTTACTTTCTTAATGGTATCTTTTGATGAATCCAAGTTTTTAATTTTAATAAAGTTCAGTATGTAAATATTGTTCTTTATGGTTAGTACTTTTTGTGTCCTATTTAAGAATATTTGCCAACTCAAGTTAAAGAAGCTATTCTTGACCTGTGTTATCTTCTAAAAGCTTTCATATTTAAAGTCTATGGACCACATAGAATTGATATTTTTTGCTCTGGTAAAAGGCAGGGGTAGGGTTTTATTCTTATTTTTCCATTTGGATATCTATTTGATCCAGCAGCACTTATTGATAAGATTATTTTTTGATAAATTTGCACCATTGCTCTGAGGTACCACCTTTTTCATAAACCAAGTGCCTAAATATACATGGGTCTGTTTCTAGATTTTCTACACTGTTCCGTTGCTTTATTTGCCTGTTGCTGTGCTAATGCTACACTGCCTTAATTACTGTCACTTTATAATAAATCTTGATCTCTGGTTGAGTAAGCGCTCCAACTTAGTTCTTCTTTGAGGTGGTCTTGGCTATTCACGGCTCTTTGCATCCCTACCTTACTTCAATATGGACTAGAAAGCATCTTTCGAGCACTGGCTGGGGGGAGACAGACAAAGGATGAGGCTGAACAATGCTCATGGCCCAGTGCAGATGGATGCCTATTAGACATATCAGAATGAACATGACTAAACAGAACTCTCCATTTCTTTTTCCCAGCCAACCGCATTCCCTCTTCCCACACAGTTTTTCTCATCTTGGAAAATGGTACCATTGTCTCCACTGCTAAACCTTAGTCGAGGAAACCATCACCGCAGGCATGGGCCACTGAAATGGCTGTGAACTGGTCCCCTCACTCTCATTTTTGTTTCCTGTCAGTGTGTTCTTCATATCACAAGAGTGATTTTTGTAAAGGTAATGCAGCAATACTCTTCTCCCCAGCTCTGGGGCCCTGTTCCATCATTTACTCTCAGATCAAACTGTCCGCTATGAAAGCCTTTCCTTCACTCCCCTATTGAAAGAGGTTCCCCTCTCCTGACACTGTCCACATCCCCTTGTTTTATTGCACCCTTAGTTCTTACCACTCTCTAAAATCATCTTTTTATGTATGTGTTATACATTATCTGTCTTCCCCATTATAATATAAGCTCCATTCAGGTACAGAGTCTGTTATCTGTCTCCCTGTATCCACAATACCTAGAATAGTCTTTGATACATTGGAGGGGCACCATAAATGTTTGTTGAATGAATGAGTGATAAAATGAACAGTAGGTGGGCTGAGGGCCTAACTGTGTGTGGCAAGCAATGTATCTAACAATGTATCAATGTTTACCTAATTTTGCATCTGGTTACCTCTTTCGACAACTAAAAATTCTTTCAGAGCAAGGAATGTGGGAAAGTTGAAGGGCATTACTTAGGTCCTGGTAGAGCTCAGGATGAATTTGGGGATCAGTTAACAGTCTTTATCCTGTCTCTATTTATTAAAATTAAACTTTTACTTTGAGATCATTGTAGACACGCATCCAGTTT